TGTACCATTTACTCAAAACCCCTCGGAAAGACACAAGGAGAAGTTTGACCTGATCATAATTCCAAGATGGCGGTGACGAATTGCAAATGCTAATAGTATTTTTCACTAAAATATTTCGGTTGAGAATTTTGGACGACTTTCGCGACAATTTCCGACAATTTCCGTTTGGCCGAACCCAAATTGTCTTCCATTCACATTCTGACCGAAATTCCCGGAATTCAAGGTTAAATGGTACTCAATCCGAATGTCGCAGAGTAATGGAATCTGGCGCTATTTAGCATTGAAAGATGCTTCAGTTTGAGAAACTCTTCCTGGAGATTCGAAGCTTCTCGAGACACAGATGTAGCTGTAGTTAAGAATGTTTAGGTCTGTAGATGGCCTTTACTTACCTGGGCATGCGAAGCTCATATGCCAAAGCCAAGAGGCGGAAAAACTGCAGACCCACCGTCGTCATCTGGGTCTTCGCATTGGCACCTCACCAGGATGCACCCCGTTCTGCTATCACGCTTCACGTTGCATTCAAGAGGGTCGAGATTAAACATCTTTTGGAAGGAAAACTGCTTCGCGCATTCTTGGTTTGCTTTGGGCAAAGACACGGGAAACTGGAGCCAGTTAGAAAAGATTCCTTTGTAAGGTGCGATCGGAAGGTTACTGAGCTTGCTTACGACTGTAAAAAGTGCTCTATTTACAACAGAACCTGGATACTTTTAAACGTAAATAAACTACACACAACAATCCGTTTTATTGAGATGGTAATAGTTCATACCGTTTAGCATGTTTGTTATGAAGTCTTCAGGCCTAAGGTGGTCTAAAGTGAACTTTTCTTATGCAGTCTTAGCTTCCTTTCATCTCTTAGCCTGTGAACGGGCTTGGGCTGTAGGGGTAGTAGCAGAGGGGGGAATGGGGTGGTGGTTATTCCTTTCCCCTCCTCTCTCTCTCTCTTCTATTTTCTTTCTTCCCGCTTTCTTTTGGCCCCATCCTGGACTTGAGAGCCTGTTCACAGGTTATTAATCTGTATCACACATTAGTTGAGCTTGTAATCTGTATTCAGCCATGTGAAATTGCTCGAAAAAATGACATAGAGTTCACTTAAGAAATTTTAAAATGGCCAACGTTAAAGGTAAAAGCCTACATGAATGAACCCTTTGCGCGATCTTGGTTGTTAGCGAAGAGTAAGTAAATGGTATTTACTAATTCTCGCTATCGTGTTCGGGCAAGATATTCTAAAATTTTCAGTAATAGCAGTTTACTTACCTGGCCATCTTCAACACTGATCTCTTTAATGCTAATGCTTTGTTTTATCGATGGACATTGTAAGGTGACGTCTTCCCTATCTTCTGAGAAAGCTACAATACAACACAGTGATCAAAACAAAAACGCATGTAACG